AGTTGATCTTCCTCTTGTTGTACTGCAGCATGCGCTCCTCCTTGCTGTTGAGTTTTTGCTTCTTTACAGAACCTCTCAATGTGCCCCAATAAATGAYACCTTCTACACTTCACATCTGGCCTTCTCCAGCATCTAAAGTGTGGATGATTATGCTTTCCACAGTGCTTGCATGCACTACTAGCATCCTTTACAACAGACTCTGAGCTATTGCTRCCACTTCCCTTCTTCCACTTCTTCTCTCTTTCATATTCTCCCTGCTGCATTCTAGCTTTCAGTGCCCCTTMAATGCTTCCTTCTTGTCGCATCAACCTCCTCTGCTCYTGTGCTTGTAAAGCACTCACTACTTCTATCACTTTGAGCTTAGTGAGGTCTTTAGAATTTTCTAAGGAAGCAATGGTTGCTTCATATCTCTCAGGTACTGAAACCAGAATCTTCTGAACCAATCTATTGTCAGATAGATCAGTTCCTAATGCTCTTGCCTTGTTAGCAATCCCGATCAACTTGTCTGAGTACTCTTTGATGGACTCAGAATCCTTCATCTGGATTCTCTCGAATTCCCTCACCAAGTTCAACACCTTCATGCCTTTAATCCTCTCATCACCTTCATACTCACTTTTGAGGAACTCCCAGATCTCCTTTGCTGACTTCAATGCCATAATTCTGTTGAATATGGCGGGAGACACAGCTGCATATAGGCAAGCTCGAGCCTTTGCCTTCCTGGTGACCCTCTCCTTGTGAGTCTTGATCTGATGCATTGTTGGATTATCAGGAAGTGGAGCAATTTCATAAACTTGCTCAATTGCTTCCCAATAATCACAACCCTCCATGTAGGCTTGTATTCTGATTGCCCATGCTTGATAGTTTTCACCATCAAACACAGGTGGAGCCAGTGAAGAAAGATTGTTTGATCCTAACTCCATTGTACAAAACTCTCACAGGTGTATCACTTAGTTTCTCTCGAAAATATCTCACTAGTCCTTACTCATAGATCCCTTAAGAATTTAAGGCTCTGATACCACTGTTGATGTACTTATTGAGAGAGAAATAAGAAAGTGAGGGAAGTAGTAATTTCATTCATTAGTGCTCCATATAAATACATACTATGATGCTAAAAATAAACATAACTATCTCCACATAATTAGCTACTCAACTAACCCATAATAATAGCAACTTAGACTTGACTACAACCAAAAGAGGAATATCAACAACTTCCTAAAAACTAGTTTGACCAAACGAATTCAAAACTAACATCAAGTGTTCTTAATGGCATGGAAGGATGTATTAAAATTATTAAAGAAGATAATGGAATTTTTTGGGAACGGCAGCAGGGAAGGGAAACTAAATTCTGGTTAATAGGAGGTAGTTTCATAGCCACTAGAGGGGGGAGGCTTGGGCATTGGTAATTTGAGAAAATGGAATCTAGCCTTATCGACGAATAGTTATGGGGATTTCCATTTGAATCTGAAGAATTATGGAATTAAAGTAATAGTAAACATAGAGGGACATTTAGTTCATAAAAAACCTGTATTTGTGTAGTCTGAGATTACAAAATTTAGGTTTCTATTATATAATTTATGTTTGGATTATGACAAAGGAACAACGAGTGTTAAAACCTTGGTTTTGTATAGCTTATGTTTTGCTTGTGGTTTGAGATTTGTAAAACTTTGTTTGTAGCCTAAGAGGAGCTCAGACGACTATAACAAAAAGTTCTGCAGCCTTCTTTGGATTCTATCACACACACGGATTCGACTTTGCTAGACTTTTTGAGTTCTAAATATGGATTTAATTTTATAGATGACCCAACCAAACAACTTTTTATTGAATCCATTTATTCTTCTGATATATATATATATATATATATATATATATATTGAAAAGAAACTATTTTATTGATAAGATGAAATATGAATACAAAAGGGGGAGAGACCCTGGGGGGTTACAAAAGGCTCTCCAATTAGACAAGAGAGACGCGGAACTATAGTTTTTATTGAATCTAAATCAATAAAAACATAAATTTGAATCTAAATCAAATACCAAACAAACTCTAAGGTTTCATTCCACTACGAGTAATGAAAAAGGGGATGGCAGAGGGTGGATACCTAAAGAAAAATAATGATGAAGATTTTATAGAGTATACCATCTAAAAGCCCAAAAGAAATTGAGCCTATCATTAGCCTAGGATCCGGATTTACTTTATCTTTGATGTGGGAGAACCTACGATTCAGTTTATCTATGTGAGGACTGAGGAGGAAAAGTGTAACCCTAACGGGTAGATCTGGTAAATATGTACTGTAAATATGCGAGGGGCAAGTATGTGTGCAGGAGGGAAGTAATGGGTTTAGTGAAGGATATGGCCTCTACTTTGTTACCATCAGGGAAAGATAAAAGGGGGAGAGATGGAGAGATAGGTAGGGAATAGCTGAGTAAACTTTGGGAGAAAATTAGACATCTTGAACATTTAATAAACATGTAATTTTGTTCTCTCAATCAACAGTAATTGGTATTTTTAAATTTTAGGAAGGACTTCTATCAAATTGGTACTAGAGCTTCTGGACATCCTGACGGGAGGAACCAAATAGAATTAGTGGAGGCGCATTAGGTGTTGTGGTAAAAGAAATGTAGAGAATTCCTTCATTGGAGAGAAACATAGCAACACTGTTGGAAGGATGACTCTATTACCTCTTTGACGGGAGGAACCAAAACGTACAATGACAGAACCCCTCAGTGTAGATCAATATGAATAAGGGAAGAAACCTGTTGACCCAGTTATAGCGGGAGAAGCGGGCGAGTCAACTGAGATGAATAAGGGGGAGTCAAGACTGTGGAGGTGGTTATGAAGTTGTGCTGTAAACCAAAGGAAACTTTTTTTAGAATTCTAAAAAAATCTATCTTTTATAAAGAGCCAATGGGTATTTATACTAGTGTAGGATAACAACCTCTTAACCAACTATCAAACTAACCAATCGGCTAACAACTATCAAACTAACCAATCGGCTATGTTAGCCGTTGGCTACTGACTAACAAACTTCTAAACTAGCTGTTAGCTATTAACCATCTTGGACAATGGTTATTTAGGCCATTTAACCTACGGTAACCCTACATCAGGGTTCCTCCCCCTATTGGGAAACTCGTCATTGAGTTAAGATGCCGGTTGAAATCCATCCAGTGCTTGATATTCGAGCAAATCAACTACATTGAAAGTTGGATTTATATTCAAGTCTGCTGGCACCAAATGTTGTAGGGTCAGACGGTTGCCCTGCAAGATTAGTTGAGGTGCACGTAAGCTGGTCCGGACACTCACGGATATAAAAATATATATATAGATATATATATATATATATTCAAGTCTGCTGGGAGTTCCACATCGTAGGCATTATCCCAATCTTTTTTAGAATCTTCAGTCTTCACTGGTCCAATCTCCTTTTTGTTCAGCTTATTGTAAGTTCCAGTAGGTAATCTAGATTTTCGTAAGCAAACCATAACTGAGTCTCCTTCTTTGAAAAGCTCTTCCCTTCTATGTGCGTCAGCTTGTTCTTTGTACATGGAATTGGAGCATTCTAGATTTTCTGTCACTTCTTTATGCAATCCACTCTACGCTCTGCCATAGCTTCATCTTCCTGTTTAAGATCAACATGAAAAGGTAGGTTAGACAAGTTGATAGTTTTGCGTGGGAGTTCAATATACCTGATCCCAAAAGGAGACTTTCCTGTTCGAACGATTCTTCATACGATTGAATGCAAGTTTAGCTTGTGTTGAAGCAAAGTCCCATTGTCGTGGCTTGTCCCCTCCTAGATAACGAATTAATGAATGGTCAGTCGATTGGTACATAACTTAAAAACTTCTTTAGTTTTTGATCGACTGAAACAGAATGGTCGGTTTTCGGTGATGCTTTTGGCACAACCGATGTTCACCCCTAGTCCCCATGCTAGAAGCTATTTTTGAACAAAAGGCCACAAATATATATCATTGGTGTTAAATATCATATGAGTAAAATAGGAAGAAAACTTTTCTTTGGAGTTCCAGTTCCGATATTCAAGTGAAGAACCAGAATTTGCAAATGTAGTTCAAAAAAATAGGAAATAAAGAAAGGAAATGAAACGGATGAGTAAAAAAAATTTATACAAAGATAAATGGATGAAAAAAAGTAAGAAATAAACAAACTTAAATGCAGAAGTGGGTATGATGTTTGAGGTTTGTTATTTATTTTCTAGGATATTGCTTTTGTTTCATAACATCTTATCATGATTGTTGAAATTGAAGAGAAATTTAATTAATTGTTTGTACGTTTAAATTTGCATAGATCGAATATTGTAATGGAAATACATGTGTTGAAGCTATGTATGAGAGAAAGGTTTTTCTTATTTCTTGAGTGGTGAGAAAGACTCAAATTTATATAAGACGATTCTCAACCATATGTCCTAGAATTAAGCAATCAGTTTAGACCAATATGGAAAGAAAAAATATAAAATATACAAGGAAACAATGGCAGAATTCCTAATTTACAGCAGAATCCGTTCAGCTTGATTTTCTACATGCATGTCTACGTTCTTATATATTATATAATTCTATAATGTATAAAGTATTCGGTTGTGTTGTGTCATGTTATATCTGTGTAAAGTTGTATTTGTAAGTCTGTATTTGACGTCAGTCTCTCTCCAGAATAATTGCCAACTTCTGTTTCTGCCTGAATAAAGGAACGAACTTCTTCAACATTAAGATAATGAGTGCATTATTTTTATGGTAGATGTTTTTTGAAGTTTCACATTTTCTTTTCATTTACTTCATCCTTCAATGTGATTGTTACAGGCCCACCAGAAACTAAACATTCCATGGCTGCATATTTGGGCGAGCTAGTTCTAAATAACGATGTAAAACTCTTTGTGGCTCAGACTGTCGGGTCATCTCTAATTAATATAATGAAAAGTGGTGATAAGCAGTCAAAAGAAGCTGCTTTGAAAGCCTTGAACCAGATATCGTCTTTTGAGGCTAGTGCAAAAGTTTTGGTACAAGAAGGGATACTCCCACCTCTCGTTAAGGATCTCTTCTCAGTTGGTCCGAATCTACTTCCTATGCGATTAAAAGAAGTATCTGCAACAATTCTTGCCAATGTTGTGAGCTCAGGCTGTGATTTCGATTCCATTCCAGTGAAATCTAATAATCAGACTACACTTGTCTCTGAAGATACAGTCCACAACCTGCTACAACTCATTAGCAATACTGGTCCTGCTATTGAATCTAAACTTCTCCAGGTTCTTGTTGGACTCACGAGGTCTCCTTCAACTATTTCGAGTATTGTTGCTGCCATTAGAAGCTCGGGTGCGATTATCAGCTTGGTTCAGTTTATTGATGCCCCGCAGCTGGATTTGCGTGTTTCTGCTATAAATCTCCTCCATAATATCTCCTCACACTTGAGCCAGGAGCTAGCAGATGCTCTGCGTGGCTCAGCTGGCCAGCTGAACAGTTTGTTTAGAATCATAGCAGAAAATACTGGAATCACAGAAGAACAAGCAGCCGCTGTGGGGCTTCTAGCAGATCTCCCCGAAAGGGATTTAGGCCTCTCCAGGCAGATGCTTGATGAAGAAGCTTTTGAGTTGGTCTACTTTAGAGTCGTTAAACTCCGCCAAGGGGAGATTAGGGGCACCCGATTTTTAACACCATTCCTTGAAGGCCTTGTTCGAATTCTTGCGAGGATTACATTTATATTGGCTGATGAGCCTGATGCTCTTGCATTTTGTCGCAGCCACAATCTTGCTGCTTTATTCATTGAACTGCTTCAGTCTAATGGACTCGACAATGTACAGATGGTTTCAGCCATTGCATTGGAAAATCTATCTCAAGAATCCAAAAATTTGACCCAATTACCTGAGTTTCCAGCACCTGGATTTTGTGCCTCAATTTTTCCATGCTTCAGCAAACAACCAGAACTAATAGGGCTGTGTCCGCTCCATCGAGGTACATGCTCCTTGAAGGAAAGTTTTTGTCTTCTGGAAGGTCAGGCAGTGGACAAATTGATAGCCCTTTTAGACCACACAAGTGAGAAGGTTATCGAGGCAGCGCTTGCAGCACTATCTACTTTGTTGGATGACGGAGTTGATATTGAGAAGGGGGTGAAGATTTTGGACGAAGCAGATGGGGTTCAGCCTATATTCAACGTGCTGCTTGAAAACCGTACAGAGAATCTGATGAGAAGGGCCGTTTGGGCAGTCGAGAGGCTGTTGCGCTCGGAGGACATCGTAATGGCGTCCTCGAATAATCCGAAGGTGAGCACAGCACTTGTTGATGCCTTCCAACACGGTGACTACCAAACCAAGCAAAATGCTGAGCGAGCTCTAAGACATATTGATAAGCTACCCAACTTCTCCAATATATTTCCTAATCCTAATATGGGATAACAATGTTTGTGTTTGTTCTATATATGCTCTTCTCTTTGCCCAATTAATAGTGCCTTCGTTTGCCTTATTACCTTCTTTTTTCTTTCCTGCTTATCATTATTTCTTATTTTTGTTTGCGAGATTCTTGCCAAAATGTTGGAGGTAGGTATTGGATGTAAAAAGTCTCCACTTTTTAGATTTTTCAGGAATTTGATTTGTTCAGTGATTTATAGCCTGTAAGTTATTTTGATTTATCTTATTGTTATATTTGTCAATGGAATAAACTAGGATATCAGATCGAGTTCGGGAAGCATTGTCGGGAAATATGGTGTCTTTTAATGTTTATTTTTTAAATTGTTTTTGGAGGATTGATTGTTATTGAATTTGTCTAAACTTCAGCATCATCACCTGCATTGTGACTTTGTCAAATTACATTGCGAGTCGTCCACTAGTAAGCTTAAAATTGTGGTGAACCAATAATATGATGAACTAATTGAACCAAAATAAATTTAGTTTTGGTTTGATTATGCACAACTTATTTTATTCTAATTTAGTTTTGGTTTGATTATGCACAACTTATTTTATTCTAACGGAATTGAATCGACTATACTCGACTTGATTGGCAGTATAATAGTGAAAATAGATGAAATTTACATAAATAACATAAAATAAATATGTATTTTTAAATTTAAATATAGCAAAAAGCTAAAATTTGTTTTCAAAACACATCATTCAAGTCAAAGTCAAACTCAAATGTAATGCCAAGAGAAGTCACACTCATACTATATATATATTTTTAAAATTTAGTAATATTTTTAAAACTATATATTAAATTAATGTTGTGGAATGAAATTTCTTTTAACAATCAAATTAGTTTGATTCAATTATTTGTGTTAATTCTAATAATATATATAATATTATTATTAATTTTGACATTTGTATTTTCTTTAAATAAACCTATCATGGCAATTTGTTATTAAAAAGTCACTAAATAGAATGATATTTATCAATTGGAGTGCAACTCGATAAATAATAAAAACATCCATCATCTTATTTGAAATTGAAAGCTCTATTCCAACAACTAAAAAAAATTAGAATTATATTTCTGTAGCTCAATAATCCAAATGATATGAAATAATATTTTAAAGGTTAAAAATTACTTTTCGTCCTGTACTTTCACTAAAGTAACAAGAATTTTAGTTTATAACAATTTAATCTAACAATTTAGTCCTTGTAGTCCTTGTAATGGTTAATCTCTCGTTTTTTGGTATATATATATATTTTGATATATGAAGGAAGGATCGAATATGTTTATAAATTAGAAAGATTAAATTGTTATATAATAAAATTTTACACTTAATTTTAATAATTTTCTTTTTATAATAGAGACTAAATTATTACAAATTTCAAATTACATGAACTAAATCGTTACAAACTAAAGTTAACTGTAGAGATAGCACAAGGACCAAACGTGTCTTTTAACCTATTTTAAAAGTTAGTCAACTTAGCATAGCTCAACTATTTAAACATATATTCTCAATCAAGAGTTTGTGAGTTCTAAAACCCATTCCCACGTGTTGTACTAAAAAATATAGATATTTTTTTGAAGTTAAATAGTTCAATGAACTAAGTGAAAAAGTGAACTCTTCATAACTAAATAATCCCACGAACCAAACCAATTCAATCCCATCCCCTCCAATAGTTGGTTTAGTTTGGTTCCAGTCGGAGTAATCCACAGGAAAGAATCGAATTGGTTCAGCCAAGAACTAAATCAAACCGACGTTTTATCTAAGCATGACCTATTTCAATTTGAAAGACTGGAATTTCACTAGAAAATTAGGTTCTCTTTCAACAAGTACAAGTTTTAACATCAAATTATTTCGTAAATGAAAGTGCTTAACCCAACAATAGAAATATAGGTATTATCCTGTCCTAAATGTGGAAAAGAAACAGGGAACATCGACCATAGGCACTAGTTTATTCTGGTAAAATATATATGTTCCTTGAAATATCATGAAACAATACCAAATTTACTTGAGATATAAAATCAATTACGATAAAGAAAGAGAATTTGACAGAAAACTACACAGTAGGGTGAAATATGTAGCCCTGTATGTCTGATGAAGAAACTAAGATGATGAATTGATCGCATCTAAAAAAAAAATTTGATACAACATATGAAATTCATGTGCATTGCATCACTTATCTTCAACATGGGAAGAAGTTTTATCTCAGATTTCTTCAAGCGTAAGGCAGTTAGAAAGAAAAGGACCTTAGAGATGCAGGACTGCCATTGATTTAGTCAAGCAGGAGGAAGCATCCATTTCATGGGTTACACGAGTTCTTGAAATGTGATTCCAGGCCGGTCCTGCATTGGAGATATCGCACACTGTCAAGAAGTCGAGTACCTGGCCAAAGATTTTGAACATTTCAATCCCAAATATCAGGTTTCTATCGGAAACAAATGCAGCATTCCAGTCCATTGGAGCATCGGGATGCACTGAGACCTCTGCCCAGCCGAGGTACACAAGATCTAACTCCCACAGTTTCCTGACAGCCTTGTTTCTCTGCCCTATCTGTCCATCCCCTTCACACCAGGAGACAGAGAGCATGAATAGCCGGCCGTTAGAGGATGCGAGTTTGGGGTAGTACTCATGAACACGAGGCGGGAATGGAGATGTCTGGATCCCAATCCAGAAGCCTCTTTCGATGTCATAACCTGCGAGTCTGTCTGTCTCAGAATAAACATAGAAAATCCCATTGCAAACAACCCCAGAACATAAAATACCGAAATCTAGAGGGAGCCTCTGGATCTCTGTCCATTTATTTGATGAGGAATCATAAATCTCCCCTGAATCTAATGGCTCATCCCAAGATCCTAGACCCCCTATAGCAATAATCACAAATCTGCGATATCCTTTTGCACGAGACTGATCACTCTTTTGTCGAATGAACTTATATGACTTCCTACTAGACAACACAACCTCATTGTCTTCCCCAGCATTTCTCACTTGTCGTCTTAGTGAGAGCCTGTGTGGATCCTCGTAAACATCCAATGAACCACCAGCACGTGATCTCAAATAACGTCTATCTTGCCGATTATGATGGCTCTGAACTGTTGAAAAATCTGAATTGACCTCAGAAGTTCCCAATATAGGCATTGATCTGGCATACTTCATAGATGCAATTTTGCGCCAAGATTTAGTTAAAGGACTAAACACTAAGACCCCTTTATGAGTCTTGAATGAGCTCTTATCCACTTTCCCAAAGTTGGTCAAGCTAGAACATCCACCAACGATGTATATATCATCCTGCATACTAGCTATAGAGAACATAAATCTTCCCCTAAGAATACCAGCATCTATTCTATGCCATTGCTTTAGGGATACATCTAGTGCATGTATCTCACCAGAGCAATAGCCATCTTTAACGGCACCAAATAAGAATATCCATGGACTCTGAAATAAACATTCACGTCTCATCTGTAAAAACCGACGAGTGCTGGTCAAGTATCTCCATTTCTTGCATACAAGGCGAGCATTCATGAGACTTGTAAGTGGGAGCCTCATCAAGCACATTTCCAGAATGTCATCTGGAAAGAAAATATGTACTTCGCTGTTCTTCATAGAGTCCCGAAGTTCAGAATGCTTTGGGCTCTGTTTCTTACGAAATCTCTCCTTTACACCATAAGAGAAGCAATCCACACTGTTTTCTTCAGTACTAAATAATGATTTGTATCCCTTACCTTCCTCACTGGCACTCGATCTCCTTCTACTGCCTGGGTCACCGATTTCCTCACCAGTGTCAGCACCTACTTTGCAACCTCCACCTCTACCATATAATGTAAGACATCTCAAAGATATTCCCTTTGAAACATCCTCTTCCTCCGCCACCACACCTTTGTGATTCTTCTTCCTCAATTTCTGGCTCATGCTTCTCATGAGCCGTTTCGACATGCTCAAAGCCTCAAAATCTTGATGAAGGTATTCCACTTCAGCTTGTGTATTGGATAACATTCCTTCTCCAGATCTTTGCAGTAAAAGTCAATTATCCCATGACCACATGAACCATAGTTCAAAGCTCATCCTTCAGCACATTTGATTTTTCCATCTAAGATGTGAACTTCTATGAAGGACTGAATTGTCTCACAGGAGACAAAAGAACAATCATATAGCCGCACAGCAACAGTACAACACTATTTATTTACTCACTTCAAGCACCTGTACAATGTACCGTGTCCAATTGCTAAATAAGTTAAGAGAAGAAAGGAGGAAAACTCGATTTCTAAATACCAAAGTTTTACAGCCGTCTATTCTTGGTTTAAGAACTCGCAACCACATTCACAGACAATCATCCAAGAACACAATTACGAATTCTCTAATTCGGACTCTACGTTCAACCTCCCAAACAAGGTTGGACAATTAACACGATCATAATTCAAAAAACACGAAACAAAAAAGAACAAAAACCACGATCTACAACAACCTAAAAATCCACACAGAAAAATCTGGACAGAAAAACACAGCAGTCAGCCATCATTTCATCGACGAGAGAAACAAATAGATTCTATAATCCCGGAGAGAAAAAGCACACTCCAGATCTATAGCATTCAGTGGCTACAACAGATTAATCACAAAAAACTCCTTCAGATTCATAGCGCTGGAAAAAAAAAAAATAACATCCAGAGGAACCGCAATTTCCTAGAGAATAACACCGGTTTGCACCACAGGCGAGAAACAACCAGCCAAAAACGAGATTCAAGCAACAAGAAGAAAAGAAGAAGAACTCACATTCCGTATACGAGTTGCAGGCAGGCAAGAGAAATCCTCGAACCGAAACGAATCGAAACGCAACGCAACGTCAAAAATGCAAAGAGAGAAGAACTGTGTGTGAATGCGAAGAGATTGGCGGATGGTTGAAGAAGTAGAGAAGGAAATCGGAGGTGTGTAACAATGGCGGAATTTGGGTTTTGGTGAGAGCTCTGAAAATTTAGTAAAGGCGACGACGAAGCTTTTGATCTCCCCTCCATCATCATAACCTTCATCTCTCCTAAATTCCCTTGTTCCCTTTGGTGCGGCTGTAATCACCTACGACGACTTCACCAACCCCCTTACTCTACTCCTCAAATCTCAGCCGTCCGATTCTGCCTAATCTGAAATCCGGTGCGTGGGCCCCACTGGGGAAATAAATAGAAAGAAAGAGAAAAGAAAAGCGTTTTGCTTTTGTTTATTGTTATTATTAAATGTTTAAATTCCATCTCGGTTTATTTTCGGGATAATTGCAGGATTCAGGAATGTGGATAAATAAATAACGTCATTTAAAAATTTATTTTGGACAAATTTATCCCTAATACAAAATTAATTTCTATTTCTGAAGATTTATACTTAATATTAAATATTAATAACATTTAATGAGATATATTTTATTTATTCTTTGAATAATATTTACCATATATTAAAAACTATTTTCTTTTAAATATTTTTATTGAGAAGGCAAATATGAATAAAAACAATGCATTTTTTTTAGTATTTTTTTAAGCAGAACTTATGAAAAAAAAAAACTAAAACAAGATATTAAACTAAAAAGAAAAGTGATCAAAGTGGATTTATTTTTTTTTTATCACAATTGAATTTGGAAAGCAAAAACAAAATTTTAAAAACTACATATTTTTTTAATTTGTAAATTTGACTTAAAGTTTGAAAATGTTTCGAAAACAGTAAGAAAACAAAAATAAAAAAAAAAGTTTCTAAGCTTAATTTTCAAATTTTTTTTTTTCAAAATGGTGTCTAAAATCTTTAAATTTTAATTTTAATCCTTTAATTTTTGTGAAAAAAAAAGTATTTTGGTTCATGAATTTTAAAAATTTTTTATTTTATTTTACTCTTTAAACTTAAGAAAAAACAATCATTTTGGTCATAATATTAATTCATTCGTGGATCGTTTCAACAAATTTATGCAACTCTAATACATGTTCAAGTTGTACTAAAAAAACATGTTCAAATTAGCATGTATATGTATGTACAAAAAATATCTCAAAATTCGAAATGAAATAGAATTGAAAGTTTAGGAATTGAAACGAAATTTAGATTATAATTTCATATTTTTTTCAAAAGTAGGAGAGTGTGATGAGAGGAAAGTGATGGCATATTTTAAAGGAATGTGGGCCTTGGCGTGGTGGCTTATGGGCCCAGTTTTAATGGGTCTAACAAGTGGGCCCTATTCGGCCTAGCCCAACTGCTCTGCTGCCTGACCCGGATTGAGATTCCGGAGTTTTTTGTTGCGGCTCAACTTGTCCATAAACTTTTATTTATTATTATTATTTTTTTTGCTACATATTGTTTTAGTCCCTCTTATTTGGGTGTTTTTCCCTTTAATTTCTATTATTTAAAAATTTCAGATTTTCAGATTTCAATATTTAATATTAAAACTGACTAATGATGGATTTCGGTTATCTCAAGCAAAGTTTTAAATATTGATGTTGATAGAAATTTTAAGGTATTAATTTTGTGTAAATATCGATATAAATATTGATATCGATGGATGTTTCTAAAAGGATATAAAAATATAAATTCATAACAAATAACATTTCGTATTTTTAAATAAGTGAAAATTAATAATATTAATATTATATCTATATTAATGATATTTTGTTAATATTTTGTTGATGTTGAATCAAGAAATTGACGAACTCCGCGAACGTTTGCTTGGACTAGATGAGCTGGACAGTAAGTTCCAAACGTTAAGCAACAGACCTGCAAAACAGAGTGAGCACTCCGATGCCAAAGTCAGTGAAAATCCAAACTAAATCGAGAGAGAATCGAAATGTTCACATCCCTCAAATTGAACGGAATGATTCTATTTATAGGCGAAGACCCTGACAGTGTTCCCAACAAGACCTCAACGCCTCTTTAAGGTTATCGTGAAACGTGGCATGTTGTCGTGGAGTATGTCGGAGGTGTGACCGAGGTGAGGTAAGCCAATTGAGTCGACCAGTAACATGGGAGCGTGATCTCTAACAAACTTGTTCGGCTCGGCCACAGAAGAGATTTGGCTCTGCAAGTGGATGAGCCAAGGTGTGCAAACTTTGGTGGTTCTTTGTGGCATCCTTGAGCCACGTGTCATGTTTTGTATCTAATCCCCACCTGCTACATCTATACTGAAATCTATCTCCAACATTGGCCCCTACTGTTCTGTGGCACAACGTCAACTTAGCTTAGTGTCGTGGTTAAAGTGGAAGGCTGACCTGGTTCGTCGTTAAATGTGACAAGTTTTCAGGTAGGGCTACGTGAACATTGCTGTCTTTTTGGCGGGATCAAATCGTGATCGTCAAATTCAAATTGCATGAACGACTGAGATGAAGTTGTCCTTTTCTATAAATAGGCAGCTTCATCTCTTTCGTTTCTTCTGCTTTTACTCTGAAATATTCCCAAGATTCTCTCAACCTTTAGATCACTTCGGTTCAGAACTCGCCTTTAGGTCAGTCATCAAGTGTTTCTCTTTTGCGTTTTTAATTCTGTAGCATGGCTTCGTCATCCGAGTCTGGGGGGCAATTATCCAAGCTTGTACAAACCGTGAGGATAGTGTATTGGTTTCTATCATAGACCTCGATCTCTATAGGGACGAACCGACCTTAGATGAAACCAATCCTGACCTCACCGAGCCGAACTTGGATGAGGCCACCACCTCAGGTAGACCTAGTCTTGTGTCTGAGCCTTCTCCTTCCATTTGTAGAGAGTTCGACCTATCCAAACCTGGGGAAGAATTTAGAATTCCTGACAACATCTTAATGAGACTGCCTCAGGTAAATGAAAGTCTAGGTAACCCTCCTCCTGGGTGGGTCGGTTTCTACCCTCAAATGTTCGACCGTGGGGTCCGACTTCCACTCCACCCTTTCATCCAAAGATTTTTATCTGCCACAAACTTGGCCCCAACTCAGTTGGCGCCCAATGGGTGGGTCACTCTCCTTGGGTTGTGGTTCACCTAGTGGAGTTTCAGCTCGGGTGATGAAGATCGCCTTCTAACCGTAGGTCAGTTCTTTACCACACACATAATCAAACCTTACAAGGAGCATCTGGGTCGGTACTATATATCGGCTCGAAATTCTTTCTGTAAGATCGTCGACTCCCTTTCGGCCAATAAACACTAGCGAGACAAATGGTTCCTCGTTTCGGGCGAATGGCTCGTCACTAAGGATGGAGAGCCTTTCTGCTAGGTCCCTAGCGAGTTTGGAGAGTGAGGTATGTTCACCTCGTCCAAGATTCCCTTGTACCAGATCTTCCTATAGCGGTCGCTCCCATCCGAGGGCTGAGTAGACTGACCAAAAGAGGACATTGGTGGAGGCTCCTCCATCAACGAGGACCCGCTTGACCATAACATGATAAATCAATGGGGCGATGACGAGGACGTCGTTATGAGGCAAGTGCACACCCTCGGTGTCTTGCTCGTCGAATAGAATCAGCAAGGTCGGTTCCTTTGATTATGAGGTACATACCTCATGTGTTGCTTCCTGGATCAACGTCTTCTGCTTCTGCTCTGACTGCCCACCGTTGGGCTCTCCAGCGATGGTGTTAATAACTGGAGGTCGGTCACCCGTGCGTCGAGGTGGCGTGCGGGACCTTTCCCTGTTGTCCTTAGTGGAGGTGGTCGACTCGTCCCTTTCGCGAGAGCCAACGTACTTCTTTAGGTAGCCGCGTCGAATGAGGTCCTCAATCTGGTACTTCAGTGCATAGCAGGTCGAGGTATTGTGGCCGTGGTCCTTGTGGAACCGGAAGTACTTCGTCTTATCCTTTTTACCACTCAGCTTGCACGTCTTCCCTAGCAGTGAGAGTAAATTCTCAAACCCACCTTCCTCCACAGCTGCAAGAATTTCCACTATGGGTTTGTTGGTCGGCGTGTACTTGTCGAACCGAGGCCTATTTTTTGATTCGGTTCAAGCGTCACTACGTTGCTCGGAAGTCTTCTCTTCGGGTCGGTGACTTGAAGTACGATCGTCGTCCCGTTTCTTTTGGGACTTGTCATCTTGGCTACTATAGCACTTGCCGCAATTAGCTTGCCAGACTTCGAGGCCATCGATGTATCTCCGTGCACAAATGAGTAACTCATTCAACGAGGTAGCTGGCTTGCTGCCAAGCTTCATCACTAGGTTTCTATCATTCAATCCGGTGGTGAAGTATATTATGGCCATCTTGTCGGTGCAGTTTACCACCTTAACGTGCTCGTCCATAAACCTGGTGATGTAATCAGTCAAGGATTCGCTATCTCGTTGTTTGATCGTCTCGAGATGGGACGTTGGAAGCTTCATCAATTGCCGTGTCGAGAACTAGTTGATGAACATCCTGCATAGTTGCTGATGGACTTCGGCTTCAACTGCCGATACCACAATCGAGTCGAGCCTTTTAGAGCAATCTGGAAGGCTCGACACTTGATGGGCGTTGCTTACCGCAAGGAATTCCATCTTCCCCTCGAATATCTCCACGTACGAGATAGGATCTCTCGACCCATCGTACGAGTTCATAGTAGGGGCATTGAATTTTTGGGGATCAACTCGTCCAAGATGTCCTGAGTAAACGGAGGCTCTTCCCTTTCTGAGAAGTCAATCTGGCCTAGAGCCTTGTAAGTGTTTTTGAGGTCTTCAATTTCCTTCTGCATCATCTCCCTGAGTTGGTCCATTTCGGACCTGATGCATGAGTCGGATCGGGACTGGCCCTGGTGATCGTTGACCTCATCGCTTCACGTCCTCCGCTCCACACGGTACCTCAAGTCACCTGAAACCTTCTTCTTGTGGCGCAAGGCCTCACGGTCGGGTCGTCGCTCTGGCCCGAGCGAGCTCGAACGCTCCCCCACCTCGGGAGGGTTGGAGGGTGCCGGGGGAGAGGAGGAAACTCTCCCCTGTTCTCCGGAGCAGGCAGGCCGGTTGGCCTGTCCCCGACAGTGGGGTGCTCCTGGTCGACACGTATAAACACCGTTATTGGTCAGGCTTAATTTTAGTTTTTGTTTATTTATTATTATTAATTTATTTTATTAAGTTTTATT